GCTCACACTATCCCAACCTTCTAGCTCTCATATTCACTTACTCCCATTGTACCTACTTTTCAACCCCACCAAGACTTCCTCAAACTTTTCCTTCCCATCTCTTAGCCCTCCAGTTAATGTAATAGCTTTTTTTTCCCTTTCTGTTCTCAGTAGGAAAAGTGGCTCTCCCCTGTCCTGTTCCCGGGAATCTCTCTGCCTGAATTTTGGACTCTAGCCCCACCCCCACCTCTTAATTTATCAATTATTTACTCTCTCCTCTAGGTCTTCAACTTATCTTTTCCTGGCAGTTTTCCCTCAGCACACACACATGATCATACCTCTTGAAACAACTACCAAAAAACAAACAACCTTAGATTACCTTAGATCTGATATTCTCCTTATCTAGATTTCTCTCCTGCCTTTCATGGCCAAGTCTCTCACCCCACACACTCTTCACCCCTCTGAAACCTGACTTCTGTCCCCACCACGCTTCTGGAAACTCCTCCAGACCAGACTCCAGTGGCCTAACAGGCTGCGGTCCAATTTCACTTCTTATCAAACTTGGCATCATCTCTAGAAAGCTTTTCGTTCTTCTGCTTCTGTGACACCCACTCAGTGGTGTTCCTCTTCCCCTCCAGCAGCTCCTTCCAAGTCTCCCTAACACGTTTCTTTTCCTCTTTCTCTTCGGTAAATGAAGATTCACCCTCCACCTCCTTCCCTTCCCACTGCTTGTACATCTCTCAAAGCAACTTTGTCATCGCCTAGGGCTTCAATAGTCATTACATATGCTAATCTCATACATTCTTGGAGCTTCAAACCTTATCTCGCTTTCTGGATATTCCTGTTTTTATGGCCCATAGGCACCTCAACCTTGATATGCACTGAACGGAATTTATCATCTTTCCCATTCCCAAAACCAACTCTTCCGTATTTTCTATCCATGTAGATGATAACAAACATCCATCCAGTGACTCAGGCTAAATGCATGAGAGAAGCCAAGCTTGTTTGTCTCCCCTCTCGGCCCCCCTCAGCTCCTCTGGCTCCAAATCCTGTTGAATTTACCTACTAGCTATCTCTTCAGTCCATCTGTTCATCTCCCTTTCTTTGATACCGCTGAACTCAGACCTTTTGCAACCTTTTTCTGGATCATCTCAATAACTTCTGGACTGTTCTTGCTGAGAGCTTCGTCTCCTCCAGCCTAAAGATTTGATACTGGTTTTGTTTTTGTTTTTGTTTTTTTTTTGGTCATGTTATTCATTTATGTCTTTTTTTTTCTTTAGTGTCTTTCTTATTTTTAAAGATATTTATTTATTTATTTATTTGAGAGAGAGAGGACAAGCAGGGGGAGCAGCAGCAGGAGAGGGAGAAGCAGGTGCCCCACTGAGCAGGGAGCCCAGCACACAGGGCTCGATTCCAGGACCCTGGGATCGTGACCTGAGCCAAAGACAGATGCTTAACCGACTAAGCCACCCAGGTCCCCTTTATTGTCTTTTTCAAACTAAAAGTAATATACTCTCATTGTAAAATACCCAAAAAGTTTATAAGGTTATAAGGAAAAAGTTACCCCTATCCAGTCCTCAAATCTTACTCCTAAATAAGCCTTTTCCACCTAAAAATATGATATTAAACATGCTGTATTTCGTCTACTTCATTTTTTTAAAAAAGATTCTATTTATTTACAGAGGGCACATGTGTGAGCAGGGGTGGGGGGGCGCAGAGAGAGAGGGAGAGAGAGAATCTCCCGCAGTCTCTGCGCTGATCTTGGAGCCAATGTGGGGCTCAATCCCACCACCCTGAGATCATGACCTGAGCCAAAATCAAGGGCTGGAGGCTCAACCAACTGAGCCACTCAGGCGCTCAAAATCAAGAGCTGGAGGCTCAACCAACTGAGCCACTCAGGCGCCCCTGTATTTCTTCTACTTTAAGAGGCACTTCCCCCCCCCCCAATATTTAACATCTCTGAGACCAAAATGTATCCTACAACCCATGGCATCTTAAATTTGGTTAAATACACGACTGTTCTGCAATGTACTATTTTTACTTGTTAATATGGGTCATGATTCCAAACCAGCACTGCCTCCAGGATGATCTTTCTAAAGAATGAAGAGTCAGGTCAGTACCTTCCCCAAAATTCTTCAAAGCGCCCCCCACCTCATGCTCCAGGCCCTCATTTTCTGACTCTGTCCTACTTTGCCAGTCTCCTTTCTAGCACATCCACACACACTGTCTTCCTTAAAGCCAAGTAGTTCTATTTGCAGTTAGTTCCCCAAATATGCCATGCTGAGCCAGATCTTTGTGCTTTTGCACAATGTTTCCTCTGCCTCTTCCTCATCTCTTCTACTCAAAGTTGCCTCTTACTGGAAAATTGCCCTCATCACCCAGGCTAAGCCTGGGTTCTTCCTTTATGCCCCGCCCCTCAACTTCTCCAGCATCTGGTGCACATCTCTGTTAAATCACTTAGAACAGGTTCATGCCGTTTCTCTTGTTTGTTGCTCCCAATGCATAGTGAGTTCTCGAGCATGCTTTCTTCTTAATATGCATTTCTAGTAGTGCCTGAACAGCATGGCTCCTCCATAAATATTTCTGGAAATAATGAACTGTACATGAGAGAGGCATAAAAATGCTCTCTGAGGTAAGGTGAAGAACATTGTAATTAACCATCCTGTAGCCTGGGACAAGAGAGAGAAAAAGGAGGCGAGAAGGTCTGGGTGCTAAGCCCGTGTGCACCCAGAAATCTAAAGCAATTGGATTTTTTTCTTCTCTTTCCCGGCTTCTGCTCCTCAGACCTACTCATTCCACCCTTAACTAAAGATAATCTGATTCCAACAACCATGCCTTGATGAGCCCTTTCTTTTTCCCTAGTCTTTTTAAGTGCCTCAAGTCCATAGCATCACTCCTCCTTGCCACAAGACCCCTTTTTTTAGCCAGAAGTTTTGAAAAATACCAAAGGGGGCAGGGAGGTTCTTTCCACTTGCCTCTCTAAATACCCACCTGAATTTACCATTTGGACTCCCTCCTGCCCTAGGTGTGGACACGCCTCACAGTCCCATCAAGACTCCACATCAGGAAATAAACACAAAAGGAAGCTAAAATTTAATACAAAATTTTTATTTTAATAACCATTCTAAAATTAATTTTAGAATGTTAATGTTTCACCTCAGAGAAAACCACTATCCCCCTCTCAACCCAGTTATTGGGTTTGAATTGCAGAAAATGCCAAAAATAGACAAAAACGTTTCCCAGTTCTTCTTTTTTACCTAGATAATTTAAAGCCAAGGATTCCAATTCGTTCATGGAAAACTACCAGGGTACTACTGGGGACTTAAGATGAAGCTCAGCTAACGTTGTCTATGTGGCAGTTGTCTATGTTGACAACTGTAGGGCCAACATCCTTTCAATACTGGCCCTTAGCAAAGAGGACAGGGACTCATGAAACAACCAAAAACAGTAGAGCAGAAGGAAAAGTGGAAAGAGAAGGGGGAGTATAGGAGAGAAAAGGGGTATGGCAGGGCAGGAGAAAATAGAGACTTTATGCTAGGAAAGGTAGCCTAGGGGAGGGCATGGAACCACAAAAATAAATAGATAAAACAATGAAAGTATCTTGGGCATGGAAACAGGACTGTCAAACAGGCTCTCAAAGACCTCAGTTAAAGAGAGGGCCAGACCAAGAAGTGGACAGACAGATCAAATGAAAGGGGAAAGCAGCCGTTAGGAAAAGCTCCGTGTCTTGAGGCCAATGACAAAGACAGCTCTGGTGCACAAAGGGACTTGGAATTGGAAAGTCTACAGCCTCTCCACAGAGAATGAGAGTCAAGTGGCCATTCTAAGGTTTGGAGCAATGGGGTCAAATCAGGCAAGCGTGCAATATGCTTACCACTTCCAACGTGGGGAACCTTCCATTCGCGGAGAAAAGACACCACCACTCAAGCCAACACAGAAGGGACTGTACAAAAATCTCTTCTGTTCACAAACTTTGGAGTAAATAAAAACAAACTAACACTAGACAACAAATACCTTCACTGCATGATTCCTGTTCCTTTAAAGCTGCTGGGGCAATCAACTATCAAACTGAGTTTTCCTTACCGTGAGACAATTACTAGGAAAAAGAAAGGCCGAACCCAACCTGTAACTTCCAGAGTGATTTCTCTTTTCAGTGCAGACTTCGGTGTATTTCGATGCCTGAGGAACAGCCCCGGCAGTTTGTCTAGATGAAGAAAAGCTTGTTTGGGGTGCAAACTGAGTTCCGCCGACCTCGACACTGCCTTAGGGAACCTGAAATTCCCTACCCCAGGGCGTTAATAAAGGCATCTTTCTGGGAGACCGCAGCATGCCAGTAAATTTACACCTTCTTCCCCCCGCCAACTGCTTTCGCCGGAACTTCTGCCGCACAGAGAGAGGGCAGGAACGGATTTTCCACGCTTTCGTTTCCTACGTGGCCGAGATCCAAAGGAGCTGCCCGTCGCTTACCTGCCTCGTCTGTCCCCGCCCGGGAGGGGCTGCGCGTTCCGCAGAGCGGCGCGCTGTCGGCTACTGCTCGTCGGCGACTCACCTACCGCGCTCTCTCTGGCTGGGAGCCGCCTGACTCATCTGGGAGAGGTGGCAGGGCTGGGGAGACCTCAGAGGGCGGAAGGACAGGAGGAGGCGGGCCGGGCCCTGCCCCCAGAGCCGGGGAGGAGGCGTCGCCAGGACGCAGGTGAAACCGACTCCGACATATCCCGGCAAGTTTCGCTGCGGGGACTCGCTGCTAGAGGCCCGCGTCGCGCAGGGGCGGCCGAGGAGCCGCCCTCTCCTACCCGGGCTGCGTGCGGGGGGCTCAACCCGGGGGCCTCTTCCCGGGGGAACCCGCGCGTCTCTTGGCGCTCTCGGGGGCCGCAAGCAGCGCCGCCCTCCTCGGCTGATGGAGGCGGGTGGCGCCGCCCCGGGCGCAGGTGACCCACGACAGGCCAGGGTTTCGGCTGGCAGAGGGGAGCGCAGGGAGGGCGAAAAGCTGACACGCGGGGCAAGGAGACGACAAGACAGCGATGGCCCGAGAGTTAAGCCAGGAGGCACTACTGGATTTTCTGTGCCAGGCCGGGGGAAGAGTGACCAACGCCGCCTTGCTGAGCCACTTCAAGAGCTTTCTCCGAGACCCCGACGCGCCCCCCAGCCAGCACCAGCGCCGCCGCGAGCTCTTCAAGGGCTTCGTCAACTCGGTCGCCGCAGTGCGCCAGGACCCCGACGGCACCAAGTATGTGGTGCTCAAGAGGAGGTACAGGGACCTTTTGGGGGAGGAGGGGCTGCAGCGACCCCGAGACCCGCCCGCGGCCGCCGCCCCTGCAGGGGGAGCTGCGTCCTGCGCCCCGCAAGGCGCGCGCGGGGGAGAGCCGCCTCTGCCCAGGCGGCGGCGCGAGAAGGAGCCAGAGGAGGAGCCAGCAGGTGCCGCAGCCCCGGCCGCCCACTCAGGTTGCAATGGACTCGCAGCCCGCGGCACCCGGGAAGCATCCCGGGGAGGTGGCGGGCGGAGGGGCGGCTCTGGCCACGGGGCGGGAGCGAGATGCGCCGCTGCGGAGACACAGGGCCGCTGCTGCTGGGAATGCCTCCAGAACAGCCTGGAGGGACTGCCCGGGGAGCAGGTGCTCGGTGCAGTCCCCGGCCCCGCCACCGCGGGGGAGAAGCCTGCGCGTGCCCCGCCAGCCCAGGATGACCGCGGGGCTCCCAGGCAGCAGCCGGAAGGCGTGCCCGCAGAGCACGCACCGGTGCCCGCTGCGCCCTGCTCGCCTCCTACAACTGTCGAGGCTGCCGGGAGCCGGGCTTCGCCGCCTGCTCTCCTGTCCCGCCCTGTTTCCCCCGGAGACTCGCCAGAGCTTTTCACCCCAGACTGTCTGCATTATTCCACCCTGCAGCAGCAGCAACAGCGCACTTGGGAATGGGTGGCCAGACATCCCCAGATTCCCAAGGCCCGGGACCAAGGCCCCATCCGAGCCTGGTCGGTCCTGCCGGACAGCTTCCTCCAGCTACCCTCGGAGCTGAGCTTCTGGGTCCGGGAACCTAACTCAGAGCCTCCAGACCCCACTCTTTCCTCTCATTCTGTCCTTCCTGTTGTTCCGGAATCCTGTCCCGAGAACCCTCCACTGGCAGTCTTTCGTAGCATTCGTTGTCAGCTGTCCCTCCAAGATCTGGAAGGCTTTGTGGACCAAGAGAGCCACGGCAGTGAGGAGAGCAGCAGTGGGCCCAAAGAGTCTCCTGGGGGTTCTGAAGAGGGGCTGCTGGTTGCTCTGGGAACCCCAGATCGGAGAGAGTTCAGGAATCCAGCTGGAGGCCTTTCTCCAAAGGAGGGGAGCCCCAGCAAGAGCCTTCAGGACCTCAGGAACAGAGGGGATGGTCACAGCTCTCAGCTGGTCTCGACAGAGGCTAATGGCCTTGCAGGCCACCCCCAGGAGTCTTTGCCCTGGCCAGCTCCCAGGTTAAGGAGATCCCTCAGGAGGAGCTCTCAGGCAAGGAGAGCCAAATTGTCTTCTTCTGATGAGGAGTATCTTGAACAGGACTTGCTGAAAAGGACTCGGCGCCCACCGCGGCCCAGGAAACCCTCCAAGGCAGGAACAGCATCCAGCCCAAGAGTGGATGCTGCTTTGATACCCAAACCTGCAGACATTAAGGCTTCTGTTAATGAGCGGGGCCGGCCACACACCTCCTGGCCCCGGGCTGGGGAGGAGTCTGCAGCCTTGGTCCCACATAGACCTTCTGAGCACAAGTCCTCTGTGGTCCCCCTGGATGCCAGGGAGCACGAATGGATTGTGAAGCTTGCCAGTGGCTCTTGGATTCAGGTGTTGACTTTGTTTTGGGAGGACCCCCAGCTGGCTCTGCACAAAGACTTCTTGACTGGGTACACTGCCTTGCACTGGATAGCCAAACATGGTGACCTCAGGGCCCTTCAGGACTTTGTCTCCAGCACACAGAAAGCAGGGATTGCTCTTGATGTTAATGTGAAGTCCAGTTGTGGATATACCCCTCTGCACCTTGCAGCCATTCATGGCCACCAGGGGGTCATCAAATTGCTAGTGCAAAGGTTGGCTTCTCGGGTGAACGTCCGGGACAGCAGTGGGAAGAAGCCATGGCAGTATCTGACCAGTAATACCTCTGGGGAGATATGGCAGCTACTGGAAGCCCCTCGGGGCAGGCCCATTTTTCCTGTCTATCCTTTAGTCCAAAGCTCTTCCCCCACCAGGAAGGCCAAGAGCTGGGAAATATCTAGAAGTGTCACCCGGAAGACTTCCTTTGCTGCACTCCTCAAAAATCAGCACAGCAAATGGAAATTGGCCAACCAGTATGAGAAATTCCCCAATCCAAGGGAAAGAGAAGAGTACAGTGACTGAGGTGGTCCGGTCTTTCGAGCATGCAGCCACCACACACTCATCCTTGAGCTGTTGGGTGAGAAAATTTGGGGGCAATAGAAAAATTGCTGAGGAGTTGGTAAGGAAGAGATCGTGTGAGATGGCCTGCCTAGGGTTTACTGCCTGGATTTTATGTCAGCATATCCCAGACAGCAGGGGTCATCCAAGCTTTCCGACCACTCAGGTCTTGGGGCCAGCGAAACCTAGACACAGGGAGGAGGCAGTTGCTTAAAACCCAGGAGGTATTCTTCCCCTTTCTTCGCCAGCACAGACCTGGGCACAGGGAGCCACAGTGTTTTCCGAAGCAGCTACTCCAGGCCTTGGCTACAGAGGGAACAGATGTCTAAGAAAAAGGGAGGCAATTCAAGGGATTGACGAAGCCCAGACAAAATCCTCTCTGGCTAATAGCTCTCTAGCTTCTATTTGTTTGGAGTATAAGTCTTGGCTGAGAGTGGAAAGCAGCAGGTTTGAAATCAGATGGCTCCTGTTTTCTCCTTTTTTCTCTTTTTCTTCCCTCCTTCATCCCTCCTTCCTTCCTCCCCCCTCCCTCCCTCCCTCCCCTCTCTCTCTCCCTCCCTCCCTCCCTCCCTCCCTTTCTTCATTCCTTTCTTCCTGAATCAGTGAAAATAAAATTATTACTGGAGGGTAGAACTTGATTTAAGAGATTCCTCAGCCTTGTCTTCGGGTCTTCCTTTGAATGCAACCTAAGGTGGCTAATGTGTGAGATGATTAGTGCCTTGTTTGGGTCTCTTCTCCACGATCAAAGAAGCGGTTAGGTAAGATCCAGTTAGGACTGACATTCAGGTCCTGCTTTAAAAAAAAAAAAAAATTAACCTAAGGGAAACTTTTCAAATGTAAAAGCTGATGGTTCATTTGCATAGTTGCTGAAACCATCTTTCCTGGAAACTACCTGTGTAACAAATGGCAAAATCAGCATCAGTAGTTGGCCAACATTCATATTATGGGGAAGCAGTAAAGGTTAAGAGGTGAATGCTCCCCCACGAGGAATTTTCTAAGCTGCTAAAAATATAATTTTATTTGCACTAAACTTAATGCCAATTAAGATTAAATATTAGCCTTGAAGTGCTGTATCTGTAACAGGAAGTGTTCCTTTTAATTGCTTGTGATGGGTCTGTGGAATGAGAGAATGGCTACTTGTAAGTTGCAATAGAATATCAAGATTTCAGAATATAAGTTTAAAGAGGGCTGAAAAGTTAAATGTCCATATGGAAACTGTTAATTTTTTATGGAATGTTTTCATGTGCTGTGGCAATGATGTTGTGTTTTCACAGTATTTGTGTGTTTCTTCTGGGTATTTTTCCCCATTAAAATATCAAGGCAACTTTATAAGTTCTTGTACTTACGCCAATTACTGTTAACTTTATTCTTTACAAAATTGTGTTTCAATGAGTGTCAAATATTTTTCTTTCTTTGGAGTTTTACTTTATAATTTTGCTGAAATAAATCTATCTCTGTTCTATGAGAAAACAAACACAAGATGCATATAATAAATAAGTCTAAGGGTTGTTTCTTCCAAAAAGACCCATATAAGAGATGAAGTTTGGCAAATCATATCAAGAAAAAAGCAACACCCCCAGACAGTGGGGGCATGGTTAGAAGAGATGAAATTTGAAAGAATAAAAGATAAACAACTATATAAATACTCTAGTGAGTGATTTTCACGAAAAAAATTTTAAGTATCAACTTCCTTTTAAAAGACAAAGAATGTTTTTACTTTATCATATTTTCATCACAAGATCAATTTATTCAACGAATATGTTTTGCCTAGTGCTGTGGTGTTTACAAAGGTGAGTGGGATGTGACCTCACCCTTCTTGAAATGTAAAATCTAACAATTCAACTTAACTTAAAATCTAATGAGATTTGTTGCTGATTGATTTATACCTTATCTTGCTCCCAAGGTATCTCTTAAAGCTGCATTGTATTAGACACAAGCTTTTAAAATGAGACAAAGAGACAAAAGGCGGTACCAGAAATGAGGACAAAGAAACCACAATGCAAGAAAAAAATTTCAAAGGTCCTAAGTACAAAATCAAGTGCTCCAGAGACTTTCAGAGGAGAGATTTCCTTGGGCTGGGAAAATCAGCGAGGGCTTCACGGAGGTGGGGAATCTTCAAGTGAATGCTGCTGGCTTTCCAAAGAAACCAGCTTTGTTGGTTCTACCACATTCTTCACGTCTGCTTCCATGTGTGATTTGCATAGCACTGGTGTTGACTGATGGTTCACTGGTTAGAACACAGTGTGGGTCTGGAGTTGATTCTCATGAGGATTCAGGTCCCTGTGGCCTTTGTCCACACATCATACCTAAGACTTTGATCAACTCTCTTACATGGTCAACATATATGTTAGGAGGGGGCAGGGCGGAAGAGGGTGTTGAAAGCAGAGTAAAATACAAATCTGACTGTGTCATTCTCTTGCTCAAGTCGTAAAGTCCAGACTAGGAGGGCTGGCAGGCCCAGCACATTTCTCCTGCCTCCTGCCAACCACTCCCTGCCATGAACTCCACACTCAAGCCAAACCAGACCCATTGGAGTGCTAATGGCCCTACCTTCTCGGTTTCTGTCTAGGTGGTAAATACCAGGGTAAATACCTCCAAGCCAGAAGATATATAGCTCTTTCGTCAAATTCTCATAATACTGTGTACACACCTCACTTACGGTTTTTGCCACATGGTATTTCAGTAAATTGTTTGAGTGTTTTATTTTTCCTGAGGACTTTGAACGTCTGGAGATTGGAGAGCATGTTTTCAATTCATCAAAATTTAGCAGATACTTATGGCACATTACTATGTGATAAAGATATAATTCCTGCCTTCAAGCACTCATAGTCTACTGGGGAAGGAGGGTCACCGAAAAATAATTTCAGCAGCATGAGGTAGGTGGATAGACGTGTGCATCTAGACTCTGAGAATACAGAGAAAGGGATATTTATGGAGCATTTCCCTTATACTAGGCTCTGTGCTTACACTGGAAATTCAACATCCAGTAAGATACACATGTTTCCCATTTTCACAGCACTGTCCTGGACCAGGGAAGTCAAGAAGATAAAATGGAAGTTAGATGGGCTTTGAAGGGCCAAGTGGAGAAAGGAGGAAAGAATATTCCAGAAGAAGGAAGGAACTTGAGTAAAACTGCAGGGTGTGTTTGGGGGACCACTTGGACATTGTGGCTGTGGGGAGCACACAGCCAGTGCTGTGTGGCAGAAGTGAGGTGGTGTGGAAAGAGACAAAGATGAAAAGGTAATTTAAGGCCAGGTTGAAAAAAGGGTCCTTTGTGCTAGGTCGAGAAATAGAGGCATTTTCTAGGAAGCCATGAATTGTCAAAATGCCTCCAGAAAATCTTAGCCTTATGGCAAATATAGATGTTTTCCTAAAGCCTTAATATGAAGACAAAAATAGATTCCAATGTATTAGATAGATGTAGTCAATTCAGAAGTTTCCCTTTCAAATTTTCCTTATGTCTTCAGTGCCGTTAATGCTTGTGTGCTAGGACGTAGTGGAAGGCAATAAAATAATTGAACAAATGGCAATTGAATATTAAAGGCAACATCAGAAACTGTTGATAACCTTGGCTCAGCCACTTGCCTTTTTTGTAGACATGGTTGTAAAGTAGTGAATTTCAATCTTATAAATATATATGGTATATACCACAGTCTTATTTCCTGCTAGTAAAATTGTTTATGGTTCAACATTTCAGGATGTTACACATAGCATGCCAAGATTTCCAGATGCTTTTGATTATAAATTTGTAGAAATACTATTGAAATACAATTCACATACCATACAATTCACCTATTTAAAACATACAGTTCAACCATCACCACAATAAAATCCTGTACAAGTTTGAGAACCACTGACCCAGGCAATGGGGAGCCATTGACAGTTGAATACAGGGGAATGATATATGTAGGCTGAAGCGAAACAGATTCCTCTTGCTACAGTAAGGGAGACAAATGAGAAACAGAGATCAGTTATTATAGTGTCTTAGTTTCATATGGGAAATATTAGGAATGTTGGCTCAAGCAGCTGGATAAGGTGAGTAAGATTGTCTACAATGAGTGAATGTCTACAATGAGGAGAGCAAATTCTAATCGGAGAGGCTGATATGGTTGATAAGAATTAGAAAGAATTAGGTAAGATCCAAAAGGATCTCTCTATTTCCTTCCATCTGTAACAAGCCCTGGTTCAGTGATCACATCATTTCATTACTGTGATGAGAGTCTAGGTTCCTGTTGACACTAAGAGTGTAAAACTCTGTACAGGCTGGTTAGCACAGCAGTGCTGGTGTGTGTGCTTGTGTCAGTCGACATCAAGCAAATGATTAAAAATGTGTAAATGAAAGCATAGGAAAGTACAGTACTTAAGCTCATGACAATGAAGGCAATGAAGCTATGTTGCCTTGGGTTCCTGTCCTGGCTTGGACAAGACCTGCAGCTTCACAATTGTCTCATTTTTAAGATGGTTTTGTTTTTTGTTTTGAGAGGATCAAGTAAATTAATACAAAGTCCTTAGAAAATGCCTGGCACATAGTAAATCTTGAATAAGTTAGCTGTTACTATTTTTAACACCATTCAAAATATACTGTTCGCTTTAAATTTCCATCTATGCTGAAAACAAAAAAATCCTCTAGTTGATTAAAAAGGTGCTACAAGAATAAGATTTGCTCATCAAATGTTTTTCCTTATGCTCTTACATAAAAAGATGCTTGCGTTTCTCATTTCAGATGAAAACGTCCATTTAACTATCCCTCGTGTGTAACAGTCATTAGCTATTATGATATGTCATTAAACAACTATATCTAATTGAAGTCACAGAAACTAATACTTGTGAGATTAGCAGCTCTGCTCTGGCCTGGAACTAAACCCAGGCAAAGCTCTGAAGAGGGGAAGCTTATGGGGAGTTGAGTGTGTGGCTGTGTGAAGCCAATATCACTTGAAATTTAAAATATCTAAATTCAACTATGC